CACACAGGTCTAGGAGTCATGCACTTCAAACTTCTCCTAATAGTCTTTGAATCAGAACCAACCCTTTTCGACTACTTTGCGCCCAGTCGAAAACTTTGTGGATTGCTGATACACCATCACGTCCCATGGGTGCAATATCACCACCAGTCAGGATAGCGTAATCCAGTCCACTATGCTGAGCTAAGCTCTTCGCGAACAATGTCTTACCCGTACCAGGAGGACCGTAGAAGAGTACATTCCGGAACAGACCCTGGAATGTCGGAGTGAAATAGTGAAAAGACTATTCGAAAATCGGTAGAAACTAGCCTTATTCCGCCTTGTGTTTGCTGTCGTTATGGCAATGTCTCGGAGTTGTCTTTCCGCATTGGGCTAAAAACAAAAATAGAGGAAGAGAGACCTTAGGAATGGAAGAAGTGAATGTCATACCGAAAGAACAACACCCTTCAGGGGGTCATGTTTGGGCCGAAAGACCATCTTTGCCACTTTTATCGGATGCTTAAGCGTTTCGAGAGGAGTAATGCGGGAGGTTTCTCGCACTAAGCTGGGCTTTCCCAACCGAGCCTCAGCGTACCGAGCAACAACTCCTTAATAAGATTATTGGTTCGTGAAGGCTCCATTTGCATAGATTCATGTGAACAAACCTGTTCCGCGTTTAGCCACATACCATCCGACAGCGAGAGCGGTCAAAGTACCTACCTAAAAGGAAGGAAAATCGCTTCTCCTTAAGTTAGTCAAAAGTATTTAGACTTACAGCAGCAGTCATCTTCGTTTTGTCCGACAAGAAATCTTGAAGACCCGCCCCAAGGACAGCACCACTCGTTCTGAAAAACTTAACAAGTTGTGCAAGTTTGATGAAAATTGCGAAACTGTTAGTGAAAAGATATAACTACAAGAAACTTTTATCGAATATACACGAAACTGATGAGTAGAGAATACCTTACTTTATTTTTTCAATAACTGTTTTCCTGTTTTCCTCTTCGTGAAGTTTCATCTGCTCAAGGTTGACGTCACTGAAAAAGCAACGATGCAGAAATAGAAATAAGAAATATATCAGAATTAAGATTTCTGGCAGAACAAAGAGAGCTTATTCTATTGATGCAGCTTCCGAAAGCAACTGAGCAACTTTCTTTTTTGAAAGCTAAGGAAAGAAGGCATTGAGA